CTGTCAATTAAAAGAAAAATCTACATAAAATTACAAAAACCAATACGTCTTGTACAAATATATTTACAGTGTTAAACTAATCTTATAATCTAATCTTTAATCTAATAAATAAAAGCAATGTGAAATTATGGTGAATATGTAAATGTGTTTTAATATTCTGTTTATTTGTAAAAAAATAAATAAATAAAAATTGTTTGGTTATTCACAGATACAGTTTTGTGTTATTTTATATTAAAGATGTAAATTCACAGTCTGCTTTATGAATTTTATTGCTATGTTTGCATATTTCAAAAATACAGGAAAAAGCTGTGAAACATAGGCTACTGGGAAAGTATTGTAAAATTACAGATTTTTTTTCATAGGTGATGGCTGCTGTACAGACAGATAATAAATGACAATATAGTAAAACACAGTTTTAATTATATAAAATATGTCTTCACGGGAGAAGTTTATTGACACATATTCTAAATTATTAAAATGTAACAAGAGGATGTATCTGCCTACACTATAATTTGTCAAAACAACATGTTTACAATGTTTGTATGTTGCTTTAGTTTATTTTATGTGTTAACATATATACAAAAGATACAAACTAGTACATAAACAACAGCAATGTGATGGAGAGGTGCAAATAAACTTCAGGGGGGCTCTCTGCAGGGTATTCTTTAATTCATGAAAGAAAAATGTTGCAATGATGTGTACAAGAGAAAGACAAAAGATACGACTGTACACAGTAGCAGTCATGTGCAAGTATGCAAAGTAGAAAATAAAATAAAAACCATTAATTACAAAGATTAGAATTAGAAATAGCCTACTTACTGATCCATGGGGGAAAACTGTGATGTGTTACAGCTGCTCTGACATGAAGCATGGAGAATTACAGAAAGTAGAATTAAGTATGAAAGTGAGAAGTATGTAAAAATATAAGAATGAAAATATGTGTGTTATGCTGTAGTGTTTAACACTAGTATGTAAAATATCTGAAATTCAAAATATGTAGGCTATAATATTATAAGTACGGCAAGTGTGTGAAAATATAAATATATGTGCCTTATGCTACATTAAAATGTATAAAAACAGTATGTAAGATTTTAGAAATATAAAAATATGTATGTAAATAGAAATATATACAATAAATGCATCATGTTAAATATAAATATTAAGACATTGAAAGAATATTGCACAGTTGAATAACTGCACAGTGTTGCTAGTTGAATTATTGCCCCAATTACTGTCCAACAGTGTTACAAAGAATTATTGTACCTTCAAGTCCCTACTGCACCATTGAAATATAATAAATAAATGATGGAATTAATTAATAATCCTAAAACCCAAGAGATAAAAACAAACTTTTAACAGCTTTCTTGAGTTGTGCAGGTGCTGATTTTAAAATATGAGATGGCAGAGCGTCAAATATCACTGAACTCTGCAAATTAAACCAAAATGTAGTGGAGATGTTTGACACTCAGGAGGACTGAGTTTATGGTTATTCTGAGGAGTTGTGGAATTGATGATTGTGGGAAAGTGCTGATGAAAATATGAGGGAAGGATCATGTTCAGGGAACTGTATACAAACAGAGGAATCTGGAGTTGGGTGATTTGATAAATACTGATGATGCCAACTTAAAAATGCTAGGTGGACTTAAATTAAGGTGTGCGTGATGGTAATAGAAATAGCCAGGGTAAAAGTAATGCTTAAAAGGCTAAAAAAGAAAAATAATTAATTAAATTAAATTAATTTAAATGAAAAATTGGTATGAATTACATTAAAAAAAAAAGTTAGATTTTTTTTTATTATTTTATAAAATAAAATAAAAGCTATAGAAAGAGTAATAATGGTTCTAAAAATATTTCAGTAACAGATTTCCATCTCTAAAACAGTTGGCATCAGCATATGGCAATGCATTATAGGCAATGTTGTCTTTACTTCTCATGTTCTGTCATAAATGTTTATATATTTGTCAGCTTGTGTGACTTTTACACAGCTTGACCCCACCTCTACCGCCACCTAGAGGTGTCTAAAGCCATGGCATCATCCCGATCTGAATCCTCGAGGCTCCAGCTAAATGAAATCACGAGCTCTGATTCATGTATTTCTTTATTTCATCACTGAGACCAGTGGACAGAGCTCATACCGACATGGTAGAGTGCTACATCAAGAGGTGCCCATGCTGCTGAATGATCCGATCCGACATGATAAAGTTTGGGGGATCCTTCCTGCAGAACTTGGACTCTGTTTTGAACTCATCCAGACAGCAGGTGGCGGTAAAGGCGCACAAGCGATCAAGGTCTATGTTACAAGGAGGCTTTGAGGACATATGTGAAAGTTTGTCTTTAGGCCACGCCCCCAGCCTGCCTGTCATCCTCTTCTCCAGCCAATGGGGTTTCACTTTTACACTCAAACATGGACACAGTGGCGATGAATGGGGGAGTGAGACCAGATGTGGTTTATGGATCAGATCAGAGAATAATGCAGCTGAATACTGATCATTTATTAGCCTATCATCTGAGCAACGGACAGATAATTTAATGTGTCTCCAAAGTGTTGATTATTCATGAGAACGAAGAGCAGCCTTTGTGATGAAGGATTTTTTAGATAATCCAGTACATGATTTATCTTCACTTAAAGGTGAAGTGCGCTCATTTTCAAAATTCATACATGTAACTCCTGTGGTCTCAGACAGTCCCAAAATACTATTAAATAAGAACAGCTCTCTCAAATCTATAAAATCAGAAAAACTAAAGCCTGTTGTATAAAGTCTGGAGCTGCTCCATAGACAATGACTGGTGAAAGATGATCCAGATGACACTGAGTGTACAGGTACACTTTCTGTGTCACAGCTGAGATCACTGCAGTAAAATAAAGCTCATTTTGAGTTTAAAAAAGCAAACGAACATTCCGTGGCTCCACAGTATACAGTCTATACATCTGGTGCCAGGCACAGCTGCACACTGCGTCCAGCGTTTTGTTTCTTTGTGTGTTTTTGTGCAATTCTTTAGTGTTTTTTGTTTAATGTGAGCACAGGAATAAAATATTTTACACTACCGTCAAACTGATTCACACTTGTAGTGTTTGTTGTATAGTTTGTGTGGTTGAATGGATAAATTCAATTTATTTATTTATTTATTTTCTGATGGAAAAGCAAGATCAAATTTAAATCAGTCTCCCACTGATTGTCTACGGAGCAGCTCCAGACTTTATACGCATGACATCACTTCTCTGGTTTCTGGCTTTGAGAGAGAGCAGCTCATGTTCACAAACATTCACTGAACTTTCCTCCTAACATATCAGAATTCTTGGTCGGGTTGGTGTTACAGGTTTTACTTCACAAAACATTTTTCAATAGTCATGCCCATATTGAATGGAAGCTTAGGTTTGGGCTTGAAGTGGGTATCCTTTTCATCTTACAGCTTATTGTAACAAGAAGTAATTAACCATCAGAGATACTCTGACATACTGGGTTGGTTGCCCCTAGTTACCAACGGGTTTTCAGAAAAATGAAAAGACATTTTAGTAAGAAGTTAATAGTAGTAATTTAAGATACAACCAAATATGCTTTGAAATAGAATCCACCAAATCCTACCGCTTTGTCAGACACCGACGCCAAAAGCCACCTTATGCGCAGTATGCCACACGGCTGGGTGGCGTCAGTTTGTGATGCAGGAGGGAACCTTTAGTGGTGTTATGATATCTGGTCGGTCAGAAGGCACCTGTCCGGCTGTATGCTGCCCAGTGGCGTTAGATGCACATAACTACATAATGTAAGGACTTGGAAAGTCTTTATAGGGCGGATGGGAGTGATGGTGGATGGGCCCAACAAACCCTCGACTCTCATGAATGTAACCATGATGTGCTTTGTTGCCTAAACCTGACCACTCGCTTGTGTTGCACGGGTTAGGCAAGACAAGGCAGCTTTGTTTGTATGGCACATTTCATACATGAAGGCAATTCAAAGTGCTTTACAGAGCAAAACTGAAACGGTGTCCTGGAGGGTCAACAACAACCGCAGGAGGACACCTAACGCGTCATATAGATGATATGTGAGGAGATGGGATGAGAACGGGTTGTCCTTTAAGGCACAATTGTTCCTCTTTTTTAATTAGCTTTTTTATATAAAGCAAATTCAAAGACACCTAAGTTGAATAAACTGAACAGCAACAGATCTCAACAACTAAATTAGAATAAAAATAATCGTAATAGATACACATAGACTAAATAAAGACATGTCAAATGTTTCCAAGCAGGCAATATAATGAATTATATGCCTGTTAAAAAATGTAGCCAGATAACATACAACTGAAACAGAAGGATTTGACCATTAAGCCAGACCACTGACACAAATCCAATTAAGGGCAACGTACTGTAACTTCGTGCGCAAAATAAAGCACATTTTGCGCCACCACGCGTGACCTTGAAGGGACAGTTTTCATCTCAATTTTCCAAGAAATACAAAATATTTTTCAGTGTATGATGAAGAAAATCACTTGTTTGGACAAAGAAAGATCAAAATCCAAACTTCTCTTCCGCTAATCTCATTTTTTTTGCGCTTTGAGGCGATAAAGAGATGTTTTTATAGAGCAGTTAGAAATAAGCTGCAGTGTAGTTGTTCATTCATTATATAGTAAGAGAGTGGTTTGGCTGAAGCACCTACGAGAAGTATGTAATACCACACACACACACACACACACACACACACACACACACACACACACACTTCAAACGAGCTTGTAAACGACTCCCTGCTACTTTTTATTCTGCTTGTAAAACTGTGTTTCAACTACAGAGTTTTAAAAAGCTGTGTGCTCCACCGGGCCCATCTGGCAGCAGGCTCCGAGGCCTACTATCACATTTCTGAGCACAAAAGGAAAATGAGATTTATTTCCTATACCGGGTAAATACAGTCTAACCATGTGATCCACACTTGGACCAATGGGCAGCCGGGAAGAAGGTAAGGGCAGGAAAAAAAAATACTACCATTTTAGGGGAGGATGTAAGCCACTATACCAGCCCATCTAACGTTTTACAGTCGCACTTAAGTGTCTTTTTATTGAAATAATAAAATAAACATGTCGCTAACGAATTATTATTCCATGATGGGGCTCCAGACTGAGGAGCCGTACGGTGCACATTTCATCCCGGGAGGCTTGCAGGGTTCGACGGCCGGCTGCGCAAAGCCAGCCCGGAGAGCGGATGAGGAGGAGGGGACCCCCAGCTCACACATTCCGGATTTTTCACATTTTTCCAACAAACAGACGAGCTTAAACGGCTTCTCTCCCTGGGCGAACACCTCCGCTTCCTCCTCGCCCTCTTCTCCGCAGCTGCAGTCCACCCCCGGCGCCTCCATCACCGGCCTCTTCCATCCACACCCCCTCTTGAGCCACCACCACCCGTACTACGGCCCGCAGACGCAGAGCCACACCGAGCACCTCGCATCCGCGGCCGCCAACGAGAGCAGGTTCGTCCGCTGCTGGGAGGGGGGGACTCCCACCTCGGAGACCTCTCTGTCACACACCGGCTTCCCCGGGTGTGTCCCCGCTCAGGGTGACCTCTCCGATCCGAGCCCGAGGTACGAGGCGGTAGAACCCGAGAGTTCACCGCCGTCACAGGACAGCCCCGGGGATTCCAGCTTCGCCTCCCCGACTGAGGTGGTCCTCGAGCGGCTTGGGACCGTGGAGGAGCTCGGGAGGAAGCCGGAGCTCAAAAAGGAGGACGAGGAAAGAAAAACAAAGCCACCACTCGACCCGGGTAAAGACAGATATACCAAACTCAGGAATGTTTATTAGCATTTAAGAAGTGACAAAGTGTGTGTGTGTGTGTGTGTGAGTGTGTGTGTGACAGAGAGGGAGACTGTGGCCTAAGTAAGTAAGTGTGTGTGACTTTTATAGCCCTATAAATGTCTTGTAAACGGTAAAATATAAAACTTTATTGTCCATTAAAATAATTAAGGTGCTATTGCTGTTATTTAACAATTTGCCACTAAAGAGAAAACGCAGGTAGCTCACGCTGCTTCTCACTGATCGGATTTGTGCAGGAACTCGAGTTATTCTATTTTTTTCTTGCAATAAATGCTCAAAGCTTGTTTTCCCAAAAATACTCCATATACTGCAGCAAGTATTATTGCATAAGCATGTCTATATAAAACGACCTTCAGAATTTAAAGGCTCCTAACTGTTCGTAGCTTGTTCGTAATGCAGCATGCCCCACAAACCAACAAATAGGCTTTATAATGATATATATTTTTTGACTTTTTTAAAAAAAGTTTGAATGACAAAAAAAGTGGATCTCAGTCAAAAAATATTTTATACATTTTTATTATAAAAAAGGGAACTCCAAAAAAAGGCACGAGGTAAAGCAAAATAAATATATAATATAATAAGGTCAATAATAATAACAATATAATTAGTGGCTATTATTTCTTTCCTTTGCAACATTTAACTTTTTTCCAAGCACTAGCCTACATTGTAATTTTCTGGTCATGCAGCCTATTGATTTATTGTTAAAACACTATGGATTCTTGCGTCAAAAATTCAGTTTAAAACCCATTTAACTGGCTCAGATTCTTCTCAGACTTATACTTATTGGTAAAGAAATGATTTCAGAAGATTTGTGCTTAAACCGGAAGTTCAATCCCTCCCATATATAATTCAGAAACTGAATCAAAGTGAGCAGAGATGTCCTCTGTGTGGTCCCCTTGTTGCTCCCTATCTATTTGTCTAACTATAATTTCACAGCACTCTCTGGCTGCGGTACTTTTTTTCAAAGTGGCCTATAAAGCATTTCAGATCAGTAAAAGGTTCAAATATCCCCAACTGCAGTTTAATAATTCTAAAAAATGAGACTCAGTTTGGCTCTTTACCAACACAGCCTGCACTCACACACAAATCGAGACTTTATTGGGCACTCTGCTGTATTTATGGCTGCTTTGTGTCCTCCCCAAAAACATTTTCATCTTAAAAGGTCCATAGCTACATCAGAAACCACTGAACATAATTTAGCATAATGTGACATTATGTTAAATTATTAAAATGCTGGAAGGGTAAAATGAAGGCATAAACAACCCTGGTGCTAATAAAAGTGTTTAAGCTCAGTGAAAAGGAGCAATATGGTTTTAAAATATATCAATATCTTTAAATGAATGGAACACTGTCTTTATTTATGGAGCTGTTTGGAGCATGTGCTTTTGTTTCTTTTTCTAATGAGCCAAAAGTTGCAGGCTCATAAAACTGGTTCCTGAGAATATTTTCTCTGATTTTTTATGTCAGTCTTTGAACTACACACACACACACACACACACACACATAGATGCACTCCCCTGTACTGCTCTCTTTGTGAGGACCCTCACTGATGTAATGCATTCCCAAGCCCTCTAACCCTAAACTTAACCATCACAGCTAAATGCCTAACCCTCCCCTCCCCCACACCCTTCCCCTCACCCAAACCTGCACGTTGTTTGAATCAGTCTCTCCTTCATGTCTCCACATTTCTCAACACAAAAACAAGAAAAGTGTCCTTGATAACTCAGCAACAGGATGGGTTAATGTTAAGGCCATCCGTTTAATTATTTCTCCTTCAACTCTAAGAAATAGCGCCTTTTTTTGTCAGTTTCGGAAATTGGCAGGTTAAATTACCCATGATCCTCAACAACTGTGGCTAAAGAAAAGAAAAGAAAGAAGAGGTCCTGTAAGTCCTGTAACACAATAATGTCTCTAACGACATTCTCACCATTGTGATATAGATATATATAATAATTTACAGAAGCATACTGCTAAATCACAGTAATATGAGTTTAACTGTGAGATTACAGTGAAATACTGTAATTCTATGGGCGTATATTGCTAAATCACAGTAATCAAATGTACATACCTTTGTATCTGTGCGCCTCACAGATCAGTGCGTGCACATTGCAGTATAGCTTCCATGACTTTCAGTAGGCCAGACTGGACCCTGGACACAGGAGCTGGACACAGCAGCACAGTTACACCTGGACAGAAGAATCTAAGCTCAGATCAGGGGAATGTTGCAACCCAATCGCCTGAAAAAAAAATGTTGGCACTTAACGTTTCTGCAAATCAGGAAAATGTTAAATGCCATTATGTAGGATACTTTGAGCAACGCTGTGGCTGAGGTGTGGTTAGATTTAAGCATAAAAACCCACTGGTTATGGTTAGGAAGAGATCATGTTTCATCTCATATACTACGTCACTTTAGAAACGTTAATATGATATGTTCACTGCAAATTGATTCTAGGAAATTACAACATATAACTAATATTTCACAGTAAATTACATTTGTATCATCTCACAGGCTTTTACTGTGATATTTTAACCTAAGTCAGAATTTTGTTGTGAAACTTACAAGGTAATTTTACAGAAGCAGTTTAACTGTGAGATTACAGTGAATTCTATAGGAGCATACTGATGAATCACAGTAATCAAATGTACATAACTGAAGTTACTGTGAAATTCAGTAATTTACAGGGACGTACTGTTATATCAGTAATGTAATGGGCTTAAACTGTGAGGTCACAATAAACATAATAGTTTTACAGGAACATCACAGTAATATGAAGGCATAACTACAGTGAGATCACAGTATACAGCTGTTGTTTCACAATAATGTACTGTAAAAAAAAATACAGTAATTAACTGTAAATGTACAACTTAATATTTTACAGTGTAGTTTTGAGCAAACATTCCATCACAGTTTATTTGCTTGTAAATATTCCCTCTCGCTGATAACATCATAATTTTTTAATGTATTAATCTACAGTGTGCATGTGTGTTATTTTGAATTGTGGTTGTCTTGATTTTAGACCTTTAGCACATACTTTTTTTGTGTCACTAACCTGTGGTGTGTATTAAAATATTTAAGCAATTAATTAACATACCAAGCTAACAGTAAGCCATGGCAGCCTAACAGTATTAGATTGATCTTGCCCCTGCCCTCCTGAGTGAATGGACCAAAATCATTTCAGTGGATTTTAATCAACCATATGTGGTTTTTATATTTTTAAAGTATTTTTATTCACCTGGTCCTCGTGTGCTTGTGCCCCTCTTTGCACTCATTAGAGTGCTGCATTAAAACCTAAACCCAACACTAATCTAAACCAAAGTCTAACTTGAACCTGAAAACCAACCATCAAACAGGCCTTTGAGGAAGCCAGGACCTGCAAAAATGTCCTCACTTTCTAAACATGTCCTCACTCTGTAGGTTAAAAACTTGTTGTGGTCCTCACTATGTAGCAAGTGCAAGTACAACACACACACACACACACACACACACACACACACAAACACACAGACACACACACCAGAGTTTTAAAATATATGTAAACATGTTAGTCCAACTGAAATTGTACAAATTTCTCAAAGTCAGACTAACACCCAGATATTGCGATTGGAAGTCGAATTCCTCCTGCATGTATGCACTCAATCAGACCCAAACTGGTCGAGGTGCTTTGAGCATCCACCCCGGGCTTTGACCCGGGAGTCCAAAAGCATTAACAGAAGAAGTAGCCAGTAACAACATGATGAAATCTACATCTAGAGCTGCACAGTTTTGGACGGACGAGAAGACACAGTTCATGTTGTGTCAGCTGAAAGAGTTAAACATTTTAAAATACATGGATGGGAGGAAAACACGGAATGGTGCTGTGTTCAAGAAAGTGATGGAACAGCTGGACAGTGCTTAATTGTTTGGTCTGTGAGGTCAACCAGAAAAAGGTCCAATACTATTGAGCTGAAAGGGGGCGTATTGCCACCTATAGTAGAGGAGTCTGACATACTTTGGTCAATAAATCGATTCCCCTCTCTAGCTTTTACACTGCGACAAGGACAGTAGTCCAGTTAGCTTGACTTAAATGTGCATGTAAATGTACTGAGTAAATACCCCGGTGTGCAGTTGAAGTAAAACTCTGCTACTCTGTGTCTTTTTCTGCAGAAAACCCATCAGCCAGTTGGATCCATGCTAAATCCACCCGGAAGAAACGGTGTCCGTACACCAAACACCAGACCCTGGAGCTGGAGAAGGAGTTCCTCTACAACATGTACCTGACCAGGGACCGGCGCCTGGAGGTGGCAGGACTCTTAAACTTGACAGAGAGGCAGGTCAAAATCTGGTTCCAGAACAGACGGATGAAGATGAAGAAGCTGATGATCCGGGAGAGGAGGGGTGTGAATGAATGATGGATCTGGAGGAGAGGCTGCAATCATCGGATTGTGGAGCTAACATGGCTGCTTTGGATAACTGCAGTGGTGAAACTGTGCAGGGGAGGCCAGGATGCGTTGTAACACTTTTACAGAAAAATATTCCTTTTAACGTCTTATGGCTTTTTCATGTCAGGTCCTCTGAACTCTGGTGTACAATTCTTCCATCTGCATGTAGCAAAATGAAGACAGTCAACCTGTCAGCTGGGGTTCTTGTAAATAATGCTCAGAATAAAATGTTCAGATTTACAGGACGATCCATAAATTGAATTAAGAAAACATACGAGTAGATATCAAAGACTTTGCTCATTTTAAAACACATCTGGTTTTGATGAGGCTGTATATCTCACATGTCCAAAACTGAAACTACTTGACACATACTTGACTTCACATAAATTGTCTGTGCTTTGTGCCAAACTGTGAATTGCATTTTATGATTTAATGCTAAAACTCCTCATAAAAACTGCTTTCAGTGTGCCAGACGTGACTGTACCACTTCTGCTACGGCCTGAAATACTCGCCAAGTGTTTATTTGTAAATTGAATAAAATACTTGGGGGGAAGAAACCTGAACAAACAGAAGCTGGACACTTAATCATAATAATAATGCCTAAAATACAGAAGAGAGTGAGACAAAATCTAAGAGATTAAATGGTGACTTTCTGTGGTAACTAAACAGGACTATGAGGACTTGGTGTGTTTAATTGATCCCTTTGCTGGCTTTGATTTAAAAGGTGAAATCTGTTGATATTCTTGGTTTAAAAGACTGTCATTTGAAGTGATTTGCATGGTCCAGTGTTGGCTGGACTTCCTGTCAGTGTACTGTTATTCAGTCTCATTGCTCCTGGCTGACAATACCATAACCAGTGGTGCAGTGGTAGTTGATGGGGTGGGTGAAGGACGAGGTAGATGAGTAGGTTCCTGAAGAGGAGGTGAGTATACTCTCCTACATAGTCCAATGGCTTTTTGGCCGATAAGAGGGTATACTCCATATACCCTCCACTACACCACTAATCATAACCCTCAGACAAATGTGATTCTATCAAACGTCAACATTTTACACAAAATGTAAAATTGCTGTTTTCATATGTGAAATAGCACATGGAATTAACATGCACCTATTGTATGAATTTACCATGTGAACTATCCGAAGAACACGTGTAGGCTGTATGTGAAATCCTCACATGTGAAATGTTTTTTCTTTATGAAGTTGACAAATGAAATGTGAGTTAAATGTGATGTTGCAACACTTTCTCACTCCGACCTCATCACATATTGCTGCTTGGTCAGTGGACTTTGACGTCCACATATGACGTCCAAGGTACCCTGGGTGTGTTGGTTGTTGATGTTCTGGGACGCCGTGTCAACTTCAGCCTGTTACATGCATTGTCTGTTTTCAAAATACACTTCGTTTTCACAGGAAAATTCATTTTGCATACAGTCTCTTTTAGAATAAATGCACTATGACTGTACAACACCGCAAATTGATGTTTTTTTCCCCTCAACAACACATGCACATGGTTGGGTTTGGAAAAAAGGGGTTTGGCTTTACAATCTTACCTGAATATAACACCAGCCTCCCGGGGGGAACGTCAGTGGTTGTTGGATAAGATGAAATGTTACAACACTCTCTGCTTCTCAAAGTCAAAAATGCTTCCCTGGTAGGATGGGTCCAAGCCGGATCCTGCAGAGGCTTGGCAAGAGTCCTTCCTAGCATTTGCTGAACACGCATTGGAATAGGCAAGCAAGTGCCCAGGTGTTTCATTGAAGAGGCCTTGCCTTCAATTCCAAATCATGCTGAAATAATTGCAGGCACTTCTTGACTGCTAAGGATACACACATGCATCCTTAAAAATTCTTTGAAGAAAGGACTCGGTCCTCGTTACAATTCGAAGGATGCCTTGACATTGGAACAGTCCTCCAGCAGGATTTGATGATGTGACCTCCTTGAATTTCAGCTGTTTAAGGATCCTTTCTTGACTTTGAGAAACACCACCTGACTCTGGATGCGCTGCCATATTGGCTGTAGATCCAATCCTGCAACCCGGTCTCACTCCGAAGTTGTTGAAATCAGGTGCTTGGTCAGTGACTTCCAGCGTCAGACATAGACGTAAAAAGATGTTCTTTCATATCTGCATGATACGCAGCGTCATGAAAATTATTAAAAAAGGTGGCGGAAGTCCGAGTATGGTGGGCACGACTGGTTGTGGATGGGTCCAACAAGCACTGAGCTTCACCTGAGAGGCCGGTGTTCGCTTCCCGTATGATTGTAAAGCCAAACCCTGTTCTTCTTCCTAAACCCAACCACATGCTTTTGTCGCCTAAACTTAATTACAATGCATGTAACAGGCTGAAGTTGACACGGAGTCCCAAAATGTCAACAACCAACACACCCAGGGTACCTTGGACGTCATAACTCGACGTGGCAATTCCATGATCAAATGTCGATATGTGACGAGGGCGGAGTGAGAATGTGTTGCCAGAAGTGAAAAGCTAACATTAGGCTATAAACAACCTACAATATGGTTGCACAACCTAGCGTCACCACCATAACAAGACTGTAAAGTCGTGTTCAGCGTAATGACGTTCTGTTGTCTCACCTCTGTATGTCTTTTTTAAGACTCATACAAGCTTCAGATTTCACGAGTGGGGAATTTACTGTTGTCTTTTATGTCATAAAACAAAACGTGAAAGTCTCTTAACCTTAACCTTCTGACATTAAGAAGAGGGAATGGGGAGTGAATAAAATGCTAACTCGTGTGCAGGTTTTAGGACTCATTCCTGGGGCACAGGAACAGAACAGTATGTCAAATCTGCAACATTTTAACTCTAAAATAAACAAACGAGCAAATTATTAAAAAACTGTAATATCAAAATTACTTTTGAGTGATTCGCAGTGTATTTCAGGTGTGTTCAGGTGCTGTCAGACTAACCCTGCAACACACAGATAATCATGTGTTGTTGTTCTTTAATCTTGCTCCTGATTGGAGCAAACCTCTGTGTTACAACCAACCCAAGTCTCCCCTAAAATAATACCCAGAGGGGACCTTTGACATTTTGTTGCTAAGACAGAAAAAAGCTTTTTTGTTTAGTTTTTTTTATAAACTGTGCATGGAGCCGAATGGGCCTATTTGTTGTTATTGTTGTTGTTATTGTGTTGTTGCTGTGTATATCTGTTGTTAATGTGGGTCTAATAATGTGCAGATCATGCCTACACACACACACACACACACACACACACACACACTCACACACCAGTCATGCTAAGCTACAGTGTGACAGCAGTCTGATGGTTATTTCCACGGTTACCTCCTGTAAACAGCTACAGTCCATGTCAGAAACAGACACAACGCACAACTTATATTTTTCACGTCAGAATGAGCCATCAGATGCAGTTGAAACATCACAGGACTATTATGGGATGTCAGTATTTCAGTGTTGTTTTTTCCCGAGGATGAGATGGAGTCAGAAACACGCCGTTCTCTCTGGAGACAGAGGAAACCCAACAGGCTATGTTAGCCTACAGCTGCAGCCCCGCGCTGCGACTGAACTGGAGTCAGGATGTGACGACACGAGGCCTTCATCATGCTCTCATTTACGCTCAATATGCTGCTCGTGGGGATTTTTATAAAAGTCAAATAAAAAATGAATGACGTCATCATTGTTAATAATACACCGTCCCTGTTGTTTTTATTTTTAGTTGCAGTATATGCTTGAGATTTCATGCGGCGGGTTGTTCCCGCATGGTGACACGGTGTCAGGACTTTATTTGATATTTACAATAATACCAGTTACACAGTAGGCTATGAGTTAGATGTATTAGTACGGGTATACGGACATGATAACACCTGCCCGCTACTACAACAAGTATTAAAACTAATAACAATAATAACACATATTTTATGTTTGCAATCTTTTTTTGTGATTATTAACACAATATATTATTATTATAGCTGTAATAAAAATACCGTTAGATAGCCTATATAGGCCGATGTTGTATTATTATCTTGCATAAAAAATAGCCTTGATAAATATACTTTAAATACCACCACTACTGTCACTACTACTGCTGCTGGCACAGCAAGTACAGCAAGTATCGTTTTTTATAAAAAAAATATTCATATTTCAAAATAATAATAGAAAACACACAAAATACAACAACAATAACTACTACTACTACTAGGTACTACATATTTGTTGGAGCCCATTAGCCTACAATAGCTGTAATAAAATTAAATATGAGCTGTTATTTATAATATTTGAATTGAATAATTAGATCTTTGTGTGCAGTAGAGAAACACACACAAAAGAAACGCACAAAACTAGGTGCAACATATTTTGTGGCCCATCGTTTGGTTAGATTAGCTCATAATAGCTGTAATAAAGATACAGCTGTTGTGTAATTTATAATTTTTGGATCAAACATTTGCATTTTTGTATGCAGTAGAGAAACACACACAAAATACAACTCCTACTACGATGACAACCACGATTACTATTACTAGGTATGCCGTAGGCCAATAAATGGTTAGATTACCAGCCTGTGGTTGTGATAAAGGTACAGCTGTAATGTATCATATCTCTTTTATAATACATGTTTTTATCTTTGTACAAGGTTGAGAAACACACACAAAATATGACTGCTCCTACGACTACGACTGCTACGACACACACTACTGGTACTAGTGTGACGGCTACTGCTGCTTGGTGCTACATATTTTTGTGGCCCAGCCTATAATAGCTGATATAAAATTAAAGTTGTATTGTTATTTATAATGTTTAGATCAAATATTAATATTTGTGTATGCAGAAGAGAAACACACAAAAATACCACTTCTAGTACTACAACTACTACTACTAGGTACTATAGCCAATCCTTTGGTTAGATTATTATGGCTGTATCATTCATAGTGCTTGTATTACATGTTTTATATTTGCGTATCACCAGAGAAACACACACAAAATACAACAACTACGACAGCTATTGCCAAAGTATTCTTTAAGTCAGTCTCTGGTTAGATATCTGTGGCTGTAGGTTATTCATATTTTTCGTATTGAATGATTTTTACGGAGTAGAGAAACACAAAATACTTCTAGCCTGCATGTTTTTGTAGACACTCGTTTGGCCAGATTATTACAGGTGTAACAACATATTATGTTTTTCTATTTTTACTTGTGTGAAACACAGAACACAAAATACCTTATTGTAGCTGTGAAAACATTTGCATCGCTTTTTTGTTTATATTTTCGTATGAAATATAGAAACGGATAAAATACTCCTACGCTGCAGCACGAACATGATCACCTCTAATAATAACACGAGTCTTGTCTCGTAGTGTCGTCCTTTATTATTATGGTTTGTTCCTACACCAGAGAAGTGCTACAGAAGCATACGTCATGTTTGACGTTTCATCGGATCACACACACACACATTTATTATATCTTTTATTGTGATGACATTATGCCAACGTCAAGGTGTTGTGCAGGTATGTAGAGAGAGTTTCAGTCCGCAGAGACACATCTCTGCTGCTTGTTTAGTCAAAGTCAGAGCAGCAGCGCCTCGGAGCTTCCCTCATTTACTGCGGCCATATAACGCGCTCATCCTACTGCAGGGTCATAAAGCAACAGCATGCATTTGGAGAATAAACGTGACTTTCCCCCCACAACACAACTCAACACACCACACAACACGGTGCACAGAGACGCACAGAGAAAGACGGAGGCACCATAAAGTCATTTAGCCCAGACACTATATGGTTTTATTGGGACACTCTTTCCTGCCGCGGAGCCTCAACTGTCCTAAATGTTAAAGTCATTGTCTGCAGATGAGACCAGACAGCCTCCATCACATCTACACACACACACACACACACACACACACACACACACACACACACACACACACACACACACACACACACACACACTGCGGCAACACAAAACACAGGAGGTTTTATTAGACAGGGGATTTAAACGGAAAACAAAAGTGTGTCTGAGCAGCGTTTGAGTCTGGACTCACCACGATCTGAGGTGCAGGGCTGCCACTTTTATAATCCAGATTACCGTTCTGATTCAGGATCTTTTAACAGTGTAATGAAGCTGTCTGAGGCCGAGAGGAGAAACTGGCCTCCAGCTTTAATGCACCAAATCCTCAGGAACACTTTGCTGCAAGAAATGACAGAATTTTAATTATATTTCCGTTTTCTTGCAACAGAAAGGAACAATTTAATCTCGTTTTCTGGATTTAAATTTCAGTGTGTGTGTGTGTGTGTGTGTGTGTGTGTGTGTGTGTGTGTGTGTGTGTGTGTGTTATTTTCACATTTG